CAACACTTAACAATAGTTATTAATTAGGCTAACATTCTACAGACAATCGTCTTCATATATACGATATTTTCGTATTCTATTTTACAATCATAATAATGAGTATTGTTCTTGTTGTTTGTCATTTGTTTAGTATTGTTTGCATAAAACATGTCACATTTCGTTTCCTTTTTCTTCGCTTCACTGCTTCGTACTGCCTATTTAACAAAAATACGTCCATGTTTTCCTAATATTGTCGTTGCTGATATAACTCGTAATTCAGTTCGGAATAACTACAAATTATGGTGATTTGTTAGAACTCTACCATTTTAATCTCAACTAACTTGATCGCTATGATAGATTCTGTCTTTCCTAACAGCCAATGCACATCCAGATGTCACCACTGTCTTCCACGTGAATGATACAAACTGCAACTTGCCTAATGAATAACTAAGGCAATCACACAAATTGACAGCTTTATGATAATATGACATTCTGATCTTGTATGATGAATATTATCGATTCCGTCGACTATATTGTATATGACTAAATATTAATCGAATGTAACATTTGAAGCCCTATTATTGAAGATACACTTCAGTAGCCAATTTCAAACCTTACCAATCAAATGGGATTACATCCAGCCAGGTCCCATACTTGCTAGCATCTCAGTCGACTTATCTGCCAAAACAGAACCACAATCCTTGAAGACCTCCGAAGTCGGTCTATCAAGCCCTTCTCATGCTCTTCAATTTAGATGACTTCTTAACCGCACTAAGATTTAAAAGTCATGTACTAATTACACTTTCATGCTCTATAAGAGTATAAATTAACTAAAGAATAACTAAAGGTCGGCGGAATTGTTACCCCTTAAACTTTTATAGCTGTGAAACATGGTCCGCAAGAGTTGGATATATTCGTAGGTTACGAGTATTCCATCATAGGTGTCTTCCAAGCATTGCTCATATATCCTGGGATAATCGAGTAGGGAACAACGTTGTTGTTGTTAGAAAACGAGTACTAGTTGGGATGACAGGTCAACAGATGAAGTATAGAAACTTCAACAGTTGGGGTGGTTGAGACAAGTGTTACGAATGCCCAACCACCGACTGCATCGACGAACCATGTTTTGTGGTTTAAAAATGATAATACTGTCATCATGGGTAGAGATTCGCAAAGTAAATAACAGCCGACTGGTGATGGTAGCAAAAGACAAATAGCAGAAAAAAAACAATCGATTTTTTTTTTAAAATTAATTGTGAAACAATATACAACATATTTGTTACTTATTATTCAAAAGGTACTAAAATAAGTGAGATTTTTAAGATAAGAAAAAAATTAAGACAATTCGATTACACTCCATAAACAAGACACGTATGGATAAAAGTACATAGCAGGAGCACATTTATTCTTGTTAACTATCTGCTGTCGTAAATGCACTTCAGATCGACCTGCACCATAGTCGTGTCTCGTCATAGATTAATGAAACGTTGGCATTCATTACCCATGTCACTAAGGGTGAGTTTAGCATCTTGCTCCAATCGACACAGTAGCCATGTTCTTATGTCACTGAACTTTTGAAACTGGAGGCTGCAAATGAGGATTAGGGCTTTGAACTGGTCTTCCAACAAAGACTTCGACTGAAAGCGTTCGCATTCACGCTTGACGATGACCACATGCGTAAGAAAACAATCATCTTCGTTCATAACTAGTTTCAAACATCGATTACGCGTATTAAACAATGACGAGTTGTCGCCAAAAGGTTGGCTTAATGTCTGGACTGTATCTGAGAATGAGTGATCATGTGGGTTCAAAGGCAAAATCAAATTACAGTACTTGTCCAGCTCACTAACAACCAACTTTCGAAGTAACAGCCGAACCTTCCAAGTGTCATGGAACAAAAAACAAAACAATAAGGGATGATGGTATGTTAATCTAATACTGGTGGTAAACACTGACCGTAAAACGGTTTTCATGAAGGCTAGCAGTGATGAAAACACTGAAAAAAAACCAAAGGCAAATAAGAATTTACCACTTTTGTTTCCTTTTATTATGTATAATTCAAGCGCTTAATGGTTGCTATGAATAAATATCCTCATTTGAAATATTCTCACTGAGAATAAAATCCTACTATACCTTAATTGTGTACATTGTGTGAACGAATGGTAGCATAACAAACTGGTCAACGATTGATTAGCTCATAAAATCAGTAATCGTTCGAAATGCATTGCATTAATTGCATTTTACACTATTTTAATAAGTCCATACGTTTTATAATTTAGAAAAATGAAATTATTCTTATTTTCAACTAATATCCAGGTGTAGTGAAGGAGAACACAGGTGGGGCAACCGAATTGTATTTAACGAAAATTACAGAGTTGCTCAGTAAAATCGGAAAACCATATGGTCAATCGTTAATTTGCAAAATATCAGTCCATCATATCGAACTGAACTGTTCCTGTTGCAAAACATCAATCCATTGTCTGACATTTCACTATTCATGCGTTTCATACAAATCCCATTGTGTTCCCTCTCTTCCTTTCTTGATCTTCCCCCATCTTCTGTTGCCAGACATTACGTTGACACTCACGTCATATACTACTTATAAGTAGCTCACACCACACAGGTAGGAATAATAAAAGATGTACATTAAACGCAGAATAAAGCACCAATTATTTATGTTCTGAGAAGTACGTCCATAGATAGATGTGCCATTAGAACTACAACGTAACAAAAAAACATTCCTAAGGAACGTTTCTTTTCGCCTTATGTGGAGCAACGAATTCAATCATAAAAGCCAAACAAGTTTCAGACGTTAGTGGCGAAGCCTAGAGCAAGAATTTTAATCTATATTGCGTTCTTTAATACAAATATTCTTATCAGCGTCTTGAACTCACTGGCTAATAAAGCAACATCTACATATATCAATCGGTCTTATTTGAAACAACCAGCATATAAATATATCACACTGCTGCAGACACTGTCTAACCTCACAGAGGTGTCCCAAGCGTCACATAAAGTTTCTATCTATCTAGTCGTCAGGTTCTAAATTGCATATGAGTGTTTTTTTGTCCTAATTTCCAGTCCAACCATATAAAAAGTGAAATAACAGATGTAACCCATTGTACCATTAAATTGACAACCATGTAGTCTTAATGAGTGAAGCGACTAGTAAGATGAAAGGTTGGGGATACAACGTTATCGAAGCATGACATTCGCGCGGCATAAGAACTGGATAGTTCTTCAGCCAAGGTGGAATTCAGGATGTTACAGAAAATGGAGAAGTCATTTCTACGGTTTACTAACTTACGTTTACAGAGCACTAAGAATGTCATCAAATAAAGCTAAAACCTAGTTGATGGCCAACTCTCTCATTCACTGAGGCAAATAACTAGAACCCAATGTTCTTACAACGTTGTAGAATATTTATTAGCACAAGTAAACTGAAATACCAAGTGAATAAATAAAACAATGGAGAACTCAATCGCTACAATGAGAAATGACGGTATACAGAGACTCACCTTACACAGGTTGATTTTTTGAAAGGACATAATTTATAACTGAAGATCAACAGTAAGTTCTGTGGTAGACTTTGGAGGAGCATTTGATGCCTTTTCTTTATCAACCTCAAAGGTAGGACATGCTGGAGGAGGAGGAACGGCATAACGTGGAAGGCAGCTACAGGACTGGAGAATACAAGTACGGGTGCTGGTGGCGTGCGATCAGCGACTTCATAGAGGGTTCGTGGCGGTGGTGCGACTAGCTTAGTAGCTACTTGAGGGACCGATGGTGTATAGTAGTCGACTGGGAAGGTGTAACAGAACCAAGGTTTTGTCGACGAGGTACTGAGGACGGCGGAGGTGGAGCTCTTGGAGAAGGGACACGGCTAGTTAGCATATTACACCTATCCCCGACAACCGATCAGTGGCCGCTGCATCTAAACAAACAAACACACGGTTGCTATAAACGGGGAATAACCAACAAATGATTGAAAATGGAGTTATGAAATACTCACAATAAATAAAATGATACATTGTAAGACCATAATGATGTTGAACAGGAATAGTAATGAACTTAGCATCAGTCACAGTAACATGTATACAACTACAACCAACATTTTTGTCTATACATACAGACGTCTGAAGCTAAGTAACACCGAACTAAATTGCTGGAAAAATAGAATCGAACAATCATGTTTGAAGTCGACTTAAGTCAAATCCTACTACAACTGAATAACATCATCATAGATGAATTAAATCCAATGTAATGCGAGTAGAATGTTACTTTCTGAAATAGGTCTTAAGCTTAATTTAAGCTGTGTACAACTAAAATAATGAATTTGTTGAGATACATCTAAATCTAAATCATTTTTCTAGTTATTTGAATTGAACCGATATAAAAGTTTCATATCTCTCAAAATTCATAGATGGTGCATTATATTCAGGCCAAGTTGTTTGAATGAATACTGCAAAACAGATAAAAAAAATTTGAGGACGAAAACATTGTTCTACTGATTTCAGACAAAGATACTCAGTTATAGGAAGTCTGCAGCAATTAGAAATGATCGACTACGAAACTGATTATTTTATGGCATCTGGAATCAGCGTGACAGGCCAACTGTATTGCTGTAACAGTAACTGATGAGTTAAAACCTAATTACAGTGTAGCACCTCACATATATTTTATACTTTTATTATTGTTGAACTTGTATGCGCATGTATGTTTGGGCATTACTTACCACCTACGCACATTATCATCGAACTGGCTTTATCGATTAACTGTTCAAATAATTCGATGTCAACATCGACTATATATATTTGTACGAAATCCGATATTTGTAGCAATCATTAAATATTTTGAATAATAAAGGAGTTGTGGCAACGACGCGTGTTCTATACAGTAATCGTCGGCAAGACGGAATGTACGAAGTTTATGAGATAAAGGAAGTCCGCCGTCACAAAATTTGTGAGCCCAATGAAAGAACGCAACGACGTTTCCTACGATTCAAAGGAAATACGTCTCCGTCTCCATCATTGTGGATTTTAATTACTACTGCAGATTGTTATTACCGTATTTTTTTACACGTTTATCATTTCATAAACATTGTTGAAAATATTTTGACAATATTAACCATCTCAAGTAAAGACATTATACATACAATTGTTATACCGCTTCGGTTTAGTAAGTCTGTTCTCTGTCATAACATTTTATTATTTCTTTTTAGCATTATTATTGTCGATCTAATTTTCTTCCCTTATACATAAGTTGATTTGTGTGTTTGTTATGTTCGTCAACTGATATGCTTGAAACCATTACGAGTTCAATTTAGTCCGTAACGAGAACAAGACAATGATCCAGAGACACGACACGCTACTCAAATACGTTGCCCCGTCTAACTACAGAAGAAGTCTTGGTATGGCGTAGAAAGTGTATTCTACAAGTACCCAGAAAATACCAGGTCCTCAAGCACACAAATCGCGTTTATTTATACATCATAGAAACATCCTTGGGAGAGCAAGACAGATACAACGCAGGACCTCGTACGTAAGTACATCAGTTCAGGTTGCCATAACACATCAGCACAGAGACACAACTGTCAGTTCAAATCCAAATGTGATAGCGATAGTAGAAGTATTAGCAGCAATGGAGAAGATTAGGGAGCGAAGATATGATTCCAGAAGTATAATTCAGTGAGATAAATCTAGACGGAGAAAGACAGAGATTATGAGGAATTCAGAAGGTTAGAATTTCAGAGAACACAAACAGTGGATGTACCTGCGCCACTGCGAACGATTCTGAGCCATGTCGTTCAAGGTCTCTAAACATTGGTGACTTTCGTCTCGCGGACCCAAACCAGGTAGTCTACATCCACCAACATGACTCAGTCCACTTGTCAGTGACTGAGTTTGGTCACCCCTACCTTTTTTCCAACCTACTCCTACACCACAAGACATCGCTCGTCGAGGCAGTCGGTGGTTAGCCATACGTAACACATGTCTAAACCACCTCAACTGATGAAGTTTTACTATTTCATCTATTGATTTGCCACAAAAGTAGCGTACTAAAATAGCACATTGACCAATGACAGTCAAGGATTTGCCTGGTGGAGAATGTAACATCAAGGTCAACAGATCAGCCCATGAATCAAATCCAAAATTAGGACCCTTTCCAAGTGAGTTCTGGGGATCTAACGTCCCCAACACTCCTCCCCTTTTTAATAGCGTGCGTTCCTGGGGTCGACTTGTATCTTGACTGTTGTTCGCCGCTGTCTGAGAGGATAACTTCGGGAACGGAGATCAGCTTGTGACTGAGTTTCTTACTGTGGTGAGTCGAAGGTATCTGGCAGGATGTCAAGGGGAAGATTTGCTCCTGTTGATATGCGATCTGGGGCTAGCCATTTTCGTTTCTGATTTCGATGGCGTGACCATCTATCGCCTCCTACCTCTACATCGTACATAACACGCCCAACCCTTTTGACCACTTGCGCTTCCTTCCAAAAACCATGGTTTGTTCTGAAGTCACGGGCAAACACAGGACATACCACTTCGTACGTGGATTACCTTACTGACTTTGTGTTGATGCATTACTCTGATGCATAAAGCTGTGAATCGTTTTCAGTCTTCTTCCTATCATGATTTTGGCTGGGGACTTTTGCTCCGGTAACGACTCATTTGGTGTTACGTACAAGAAATTTTGCAACGCGTGAGCTGGTGTCCCCTACCCTTTTGACTTAACCAATGCTCTTTTATACGTATCCACAAACCTTCCCGCTTGCCCATTCGATTGCGGGTGGTATGGTGGCGAGCGTAAGTGTTTGATGGCTAGCCGTTGGCAAAAAGTTTGAAGTTGGGTAGAGGTAAATTGCGACCCTTTGTCAGATGCAATCACATCTGGTATGCCATTTCGTGGGCGGCATTACGGGGCTGATTTCTGGCCATTTTGAAAGGGCGTCGACCACAAATAAATACACAGTTCCATTAATTGAAACCACGAAGTTGACGTGTATCCTGGACCAAGGGTGATCAGGCTGTGGCCATAAAACCGGTGGAAATTTGGCATTTACCCTTGTCACTTGCTGACACCGCATGCGCTTTTCAACCAACTCGGTGATATGTTGACCTATCAGAGGCCAGTATGCATAACTACTGACTATGGATTTCGTTCGTCTAACCGGATGACCGAGGTGGGACTGTGTCAGCATCTTCACACTAAGGGATTTTGGTATCACCACTCTTTCTCCAGCTGCTTCATGTAACAATCAAACTTCTTAGATGGCCAACCGTTGGTGACATAGTTCATCGGCAATCTTGATGATGTAGTCGTTCCCAGAAGCGTTTTATATGTCTGTTGCAGACACCGGCAATGCCCGAATAGCGGTTGTCATATAACATTCAGCGTGGTCTTCCGCTAACAGAGATGCAATTACCACGCTTTCCTCAGCCGCCACTTGATCATGAATGAGCCGTGACAAACCGTCTGCCTGACCAAATTGTAGAGTGCAGGCAGATGGACAGACAGATACAACACAGAACTTCGTACATACGTACTTTGATCATTGGTGAGCGTGTATGTGCATGTATGTTTGGGCATTACTTACCACCTACGCACATTATCATCTAACTAGCTTTATCGATTAACTATTTAAATAATCCGATGGCAATATCGACCATATTATATATCTGAATTAAATCCAATATTTGTATCAATCATTATATATTTTGAATAATAAAGCCATAGTGACAATCACTCGTGTTCTATAGTAAAGTAACCGTCATCACGACGGAGACGTAACGAATTTAGAAGATAAAGAAGGTCCAAAGCCACAATTTCATAAGATGTAATACTTGATTCAGATATAATGAAACCTTGCTCGTTGTTTAGCTACACGCAGCCAAACCAAAACATGGCACAAATCCATGAAGTCAATCGACTGTCACTCAGACTATTACAACCTACAACTTCGTACGTACGTCGTACATCAATTCAGGTTGCCATACCACATCAGCACACAGACGCCATCGTCAGTTCAAATACAATAGTGCTAGAAATAGTAGAACAATTACTCCTGATGGAAAATATTACGGATCGAAGGTATTATTATTCAAGAAGTATAGTTCAGTGAGATAACTTTAGAAAAACAAAGAAAGAGATGATGAGATATTCAGAAGGTTAGGATTTCAGAGAACACAAACAGTGGATGAATCTGAGCCATCGCAAACGATTTCGAACCACGTCGTTCAAGGTCTCTAAACATCAGTGACTTTCATCTCGCGGGCCGAAACCAGATAGCCTACATCTACCAACATGACTCAGTCCACTTGTCAGTGACTTCATGCATTTCTACCATGTTATCGTTCCGCCGCCTCCAGCTTTCTTCCAACCTACTCCTACACCACAAGACATCGCTCGTCGAAGCAGTCGCTGTCTAGGTATACGTAACACATGTCCGAACCACCTCAACTGATGAAATTTCAATACTTCATCTATTGCTCTGCCATCTCTACCTAGTACTCGTTTCCTAACGACAGCAATGCTTACTCGGCCGTTCAAGGATATACGAGAAATCCTACGAAGTCATCTATGATTGAAAACCAGTAACCTACGAATGTCTTCTATTCTTGCCGGTCACGTTTGGCATCCGTATAGTAGGACGGAGCGAACTGCTGCGCATACGAGACAAAATCTGTCACACAATTTGTAATTTGGTTATATGAAAATCCAACATTGTTTAGAGTAATAACAGTTAAACAGTTAATCAATGATTCGTTTTATGACTAAGGCCTTCATTCGATTTTCTAATATCGAGTTGTAGGCTTGAAATGTTTCACATACTTCACCTCAAACGACCATATAACATTACGAAAGCCTAATTAAACAAAACACACGACTCAAAGCTAACTACACGAAAATACAGTTGATCGCGAGATTCCAAATAACTCCGAAATAAAATCTTAGCTAGCAAAACATGATCTAATTGTATTTTTCCTGTGATTAAACAAGTTTAAGTGATCTTTATCTTACTCTTTACGAGCAAAAACAAAAATTAATTGTTTTACTAAAAATTTTGATTTGAACAAGTTGATAGAAACACACGAACATACAGCTCACATTTTCAATGTAAATCAACACTTTAAAAAATGTTGACCATTACTACTGCAATGGTCGATGCAGTAACAAGGTTTTCATAGAAGGTAGGGATTACAAATTTGTAAAAATCGCTGAGTAACAAACATAATAGACATCCGAGTCAACCTATATGTCGAATAGATGTCATAAACACACATTGATGACTTTCAGTAAAAAAAATTTTGATAAAATTTTAGACCATTAACCCAACATAAACATGGTGCAATACAATTAAGGTATTTTTAACTCAAGTTGATAAATTTTATAAATCACCAATGATATTTGTTGTAATTTTTATGGTTACCTCTAGCAAACCACCATGTTCACGTGCAATATTGTAGACAAACGTTTGTTCGCTCGGTACATTCATTGCATCTTCACGTCCAATAGCACGTAGTTTGTTGCGTATAATTGCGCTTTCTTGTGAAGGAATATCAAATATCTTTGGTTCTCTATCATGACCAACATGTTCAATATGACGAAAATCTGAAGGATTACTGGTATCTTTTGATGTAAGCTTCTGTTATATGAAAGAACAAAAAAGAGAATGTATAAATGAGAAAGAACTAAAATGGCAACAATGATTAATAAAGTAAAAATAAACGATTGTACATTGAATATTATTCAAATAGTTTTCAAACAAAGAAACTATAAACAAACAACCAATAATTAAGAAATGATGTTCAATCAATCCCCATACATCCATCATAAAACTAAATGTCAATAAGGTTTAGGTATTTAGAGCACTGATTTGTTCACTAGCTAGCATTGAATTAAAGTGACAAGGAGTTAGAGACACAACATAAAAACTTTTAATCCTCAAAAACAAAGCATACAGAAGAGTTTGAGTTTCAAAAACATATAATCTGATGATTACTAACTAGTAAACACATTCTCCATGGAATCTGATAAACCAATCAATAATAATAAGCAAGTTGTCTCTCTTATCATCACATTCATCACCGGTACAGACCAGATTGAATGTAAATTTCATGTTAAAAATTAAAAATAATAAAAAAACAATTATGATTAATGAAGAACAATAAGTTTCCATCAGTCAGACAGTCAGTTGCAACGTAGAACTTCGTACGTATGTACATAAGTTCAGGTTGCCATACCACATCAGCACAGAGACGCAACTGTGAAATAAAATCCCATAGTGATAGAGATAGTAGAGGTATTAATGGTAATGAAGAAGACTAGGGTTTGAAGATATTATTCAAGACAAAGGTAGAGCTGCTGACGAAGCCAGAAGATTAGAATTTGAGAGAATACAAACAGTGAATGCACCTGCGCCATGTCGTCCAAGGTCTCTAACCATTGGTGACTTTCGTCTCGTGGACCCCAAGCAGATAGCTTACATCTAACAACACGAGTCAGTCCACTTGCCAGTGATTTCATGGATTTGTGCCATGTTTCGGTTTGGCCACCCCTAGCTTTCTTCCAACCTACGTCTACACCACAAAGCGCTACTTACGTCAACTGACATAAATTAGTTGGCTATTTACCATTTACTTTAATTGTGATAATTGAGTTTAATAATTACGTATCAAAATTGCAAATGACATTCACTTTGAGAATGCGATATATATATATATATATATATATATATATATATATATATATATTCCGATCCCTAATCTATTCTATTATGTCTAATAGGGTACTGCCTTTAGTACAACGGGATTTGACTCGACAGCTTCATCTCTCTGTATTAATATGGTACAACAACTTGAACTAATGTATGGACGTACTAATTTGTACGTTGTAGCTGACTGATTGACTCTTATCTCACAAACAATAACAAGTGCAGATGAAGACGGCTAGTGTAGTAGCAGCCTCTGCAGCAGTAGGTCTCAACATTTACATGGGAAAAAGCAAGATCATAAAAGATAACACACACATAGTACTAAAAAATAGTACTTGATAGAGATTGTCTTGAAGAAGTGGAAACGTTTACGTAATTGGACAGCATCACTGACAAACGTTTATCGGATGGAGATGTGAAGACGCGGACTGACAAATCCAAAGCAATATTCCAACAATCGGAGAAAATCTGAAGCTTAAGACAACAGTCAACCAACACCAAAGTCGCACTTTTCATTACAAATGTCAGAATTGTTCTATTTGATGAAGCGGAAACTACAAAAGCTATCACCTCCAAGATACAGGTGTTTATTAACAGTTGTCTACGTAAGATAGTGACTGCTAATCAGATGGTCAGATACTGACTATCAGCAGCAACTTACAGTGGGAGAGAAAAAAGCAGACTCCAACTGCACAAGAAATTAGGAAAAAGTGCTAGAAGTAGTTGGGACACATACCTAGGAAACCGCTGAACTGCATCACGAGGCAAGCCATAACTTGGAACCCTTAGAGTAAAAGTAAAAGAGGTAGACCAAGGAAAATATTTCACCGGGAATCGGAGACAATTAATCAATCATTCACTACCCCATTCCATATCACTTACCTTTTGAATGAATATAATGTATGGTTACTTATTTGGAATGTGTTCTGATTTGTTAATTCAAAAAGTTAAAGTTTCAGTTTTAAGGACTGCATACGAAAACAAACTAGCCTACTGTAGTGCACGGTTGAACAGTGGGGGATATAGAAAAAAGCGCACAGCCTAGACCAACAGGAGTTAAGATAATCTCGGCGGAAGCTCAATGTTATTACTATCAGTCGAAGCCTACAATTCATCAAAGATTAGGACGTTGATATATAACTGAAAAATTATACTCAAGGTATAAAATTATGAACGAGACTCTAATTCGTATATCTTATCTAGTGACTGATTACGGCGTGTACGGAAACATTCCAGAATCGTAACGCTCACAATAACTCTGAAAGTTACTGAATGTTGGCAATCATTGACCTGGCGTAATAATGTTCACATACTTTAGTTATTTCATTTTAAATCAATTCGATTTAACTTTTATGATGTTAGTAATTACTTTTGGAAGATGTTGTGGCACCACACATATATTTTGTACTTTTATCATTGTACAGCTAGTATGCGCATGTATGTTTGGGCATTACTTACCACCTACGCACATTATCATCTAACTAGCTTTATCGATTAACTGTTTAAATAATCCGATGGCAATATCGACCATATTATATATCTGCATTAAATCCAATATTTGTATCAATCATTATATATTTTGAATAAAAAAGCAATTGTGACAATCACTCGTGTTCTATAGTAAAGTAACCGTCATCGCGGAGGAGACGTAACGAATTTAGAAGATAAAGAAAGTCCAAAGCCACAATTTCATAAGATGCCGGTCACGTTTCGCATCCGTATAGTAAGACGGAGCGAACTGCTGCGCAGTACACTCATCCTTTAGTTAGCGAACGGTATCTCGCCTGCGCCATAAGTGACGCAACTTGGCCGAAGCCAATCGAGCCTTCTGTATCCGTGCTGAGATTTCGTCAAACACCAGGCCATTAGCACTGATGAGACTCTCCAGATGACACCATAAGATCCACCCAGGTGTCTTCTCTTTTCACTTAGTCTACCTACTTGAGCACTGAAGTCACCAGCCATCATTACTACATCGGAGCGCCTAACCTTTTGGAGGAGGTCCAAAAGCTTTCTGTAAAACTCATATTTCACCTCGTCTGAACTCCAGTCAATGGGAGCGTAGGCGGATACGACGAAGAGGCGACGGTTAGTCCTCACTGTCTCGCTTAGTCGGACTGCACACCAGCGACTATCTACTGGGATTCAGTGTGGCAGAGCTAGTTCTGCTCTAGGACTCAATACTATACCTACGCCAGCGAGACCACGGGATGCGTCTTCAGGTCTTCCAGATACACGAAGAGTAAATCGAGTTGCTTCTTTATCTTGACCTGGAGTGGTCAAGTGAATGGCGCTACTCGCATCCTGTATGCACGTTTACGAGACGCAGTATACATGGATGGCGCGAGATTCTGAAGTCCTAGCTAAGAGAAAATTTCAACAAATAACATCCAAAAAGTTTAAAATTTGGTAACAAACACAGATAGGCTAACTGTACACACAGACAGAGTACCTTTTTTCTTTTAGACTTTTTTTTGTTCCTTATTGACATAAGTCCTTGGTCAGATAATTCTGTCTGATTTAAATTACAGATACCGTCTTGTAAAACTGCGTGGGAACCAATGGCATGAAGATTAGATGAAAACTCTTCATCAACAGTTGCACGCATAGATCTTAAGCAACCATTTATTTTACGTAAGAAATGTTTGGCTTCTAAAAGAGACGCGAAAGCAAGTCCAAATGGTCCTTCACTTGATTGAAATGCGTGAAAGCGTCTCGTTTCCTCAGTATAATCCATTTCCAAAAATAACCTTTGCTCGAAGAGGAGAATTTTCCTCTACAAAGATAGTGTGTATTGCAAACGAATAAATACGAGTTCACTTACTTCCACACAGTATATTCGGATGAAATAATCCTCATAATTTGTGTCCTTGATACAACATGCAACACCACAGTCCTTAAGCCTCCAAATCCATTCACCTTGGTAGTACTGTACCACAGCAGCAGCTAATGACTTACAACCAGCTCCCATCAATGACAGTAATATAGAATTCTCTTCGTCAGTTATTATACCTGAAGTTCCACCCAATTTATTGGACTATCAAAGTTTAAAATCAAACGTGTAAAAGTTAGAAAACGCGAAAACTGTGTGAGTAAAACGAAGATGTCTTGACCAAATTGAAAGATAGACAGATAGTAGTCTATAACTACGCTTCCATGAAGAAAACATTTGAAAAGTAAATCCACAGTAAAGTTTCGTGATATCGAAACTCCTCAAAGTAACTCCTAGATCGAGAACACTTTCTTATTCTATGTCCCATACACTTAAGATGTAAGAATCTATGAGATCGAGGCACATTGTGATAGTCATTTCAAATTTTCGGAAGTCCATGCTGATTAAGTAACTGACATTCAGTACGGATGTTCAAGTACTCAAACATGAGATTGGAACGGATGTTAACAAACATGAGCCCAAATAACCAAAAAACACCAATGCAAATCGCTCGTTTTCAAATCAGAAACAGTTAGTGAGGTTAGTTTTTACATACGCCTGTATCAGTACTTTGGTAGATTAAGAACAAAGTACAGCATAGTGACCTCGAATGGGGAACCTTTCAAAACAACAAAGACTTTTACGGATCAAGAATTGATACAGTTGGCTAGTATTACGCTCTAATCTTTTGAAAAATTCAAAATAAATAAGGTATTTTAGAAGTACTAAGTCAACTCAAACTCATAACTGTTTGGGTGTATGAAGTAAGTACAACGTGATTAAAAGTGGTGAGATGTTCACATAATGTATCCGCAAACATAAGATAATTAACAATGATATCGAAAGATGTATAAAAAGGAATAGATGTTAGAACATAAAGATAAGCAACTAAACCTTCAACAAATCACGTTAAGGTTTGAGGTCGGCTTAACAACCAATAGATTTGGTTATGATAGGTCTGAGGGTTAAATTTATAAAAATGGGTCTCATAGTAAAGGTACACTATAAATAGAAGATGGTGATCGAGTCAACAACACGAACATTAAGTATGCATTTAAGGCTTCAACGAGTAATTACCAGGTTAATACGGTTGCGTTTGCCGGGAATAGAACAGAAATAGTTGTTCCGGGTTTCGGAAGACCAGGAATGACGTTTCGTGTACTCGCATTGTTCGCATTAGCGGCGAATTGTGAATAAAGAATGTGAGAAGGGTGAGTTGTGGAGATAAGAGAGATGTTAAGGGGTGTAGGAAGGAGTAGATTGCGACCAATTCGGTCTTGTGGGTTATTGCGGGTATGAGGGAGGATATCACTTCCTGGCTGTCCACAACGTGGAAGTGTGTTTCTCGAGGAACCTGAAAAAGAAGTTGGATTGGCGTTGGTCTTAGAGACCTGGGAGCATGACCGCAGAGCCCAACAGACAACTGCTTCAAACCGGTCACACAGGACCTTCTTAAGGGAAGTTTTTAAAGTGTTAGCTCTGCTCTTGTTTAAAAGACCTTACCACCGGAGACCGAAATCCGTGTGGCAAGGTGAGGTGTGACCTTTTTAGGGTCGACCTTCTCTAACCACTTCCTTTCTTTTGAGAAGACAGCATCTCTGCAGATGCTGGTTGTTCAAGGGAAACACCTTACTGCTGCCAAACCCATGTAGTCAGCAGTACGACTTCACCTTCAGACATTGAGTAGTTGCTTTTAGTCTCATCGTTCTCCAATCGATCTGCCTGACACGGTAGAACCTACAGAAACATATGTTTCAGCCAATATAGCTCTATTGGACCATCAAGATAGGCAAGCTCGGTCATCACGTCGAAGTAGCAGCTGCGGTCGGGTAATACATGTTAAGGGTATCTGATGCCGTATTCCATGGAAATCAACGTCATGAGAGTCATGAATCAACTTTAAATGTCCCGTGACACACTGCAGTTTCTGCAGTTTGTATCAGTTATAAAAGCTGTAACTAGTGATTTCTAGCGACTAGCTACTTCGCCCGACAGTGTATTTTAATCGAACAACTTTGGATCCCCTTAAAGTATATTAGAACACAAGAAACTTGAAATACGGTAGCGTACAAGACGAATTAAGTAAACTGACAAACAGGTACTAGCTGGGTACAGTACGATTTAAAACTGGTCGCTAAAACTGAGTATTTGTTCAAAACTTTTAATGCACAAAACAGGTATAATAACACTGTTCATTAGAGTTGTCAGTGAACATCTGATAGTTAGTTCACACAATAATAAGGTCCGAATGGAAACAACTCAATGTACTCTAACAAATACAATTGCAGTTTATACAACAAATGGCTATTATTGCATCTTAGTTGATATGCCTAGCTTTTGAATGCTTACTCATTTTAGATATTCACTAAGATAATCGTGATAAATTTGATAATCATAGAGTAAACCATCGGGTTGTGACAGTATCCTCATTCAAATAGAGAAAAACCCCGGTTTAATATGATTATTGATACTGTCACCAAACTGACCAGAATTCCGGGTTAAGGCTTTAGCAAGTGGACATAAGATATAGTGACGGAGCTAATGGACAGTTTACTAAAATAAGGCGATGACTCACAGACCAACGTATATGCGATAATAGTTGCATCATAGGCAGAAGCTATGATTGTACATAATCAATAAACGATAAGGATGTCCACCTAGATTAATTGCATGTTTGTGTGCATATGTAAAAGAAGCCCAAGGCACAATAATACAAACATCTGCACATGAGGTTAGAAACCGTCAAACTGAGAGAACTAATCGTCAATAGTCACTAGACTGAATAAAAATTAAGAACAGTCATTTGAAAGACTTGGATACAAACTGCGTCTTGACAGACAATGAAAAGCGGAACATTCGACGACTACGATATGATAGGTGAATCCACCTATATTTTCATTTACATCATAAAATATCTGTGCTAGAAACACTTCCTGATACAATCAAGTCAACTTAAATCCAGCATCTAAAAACTATAGAATCGATCTTATCATTGATGAATATAGTGAAACGTAAAAGAAATCCCAATAAGGAAAAATAAGACGAGACATACTGTCCGCATTTTATTGAAGATGTGTTTACCACGTGCAGTCAGCTGTCAGTGAAGGGCGAAGAAGAACTAAAACCTCAACACTCAAGGTTATCTAAGCACTTCACACCAAGAGATGACACGAAGTGGAAGTCACGCGACTTTTATTTTAAAATTAAATCTTGCGAGCTAAGTGCAAAGGGGATGGCTTCCAATATCTCCAATATCCAATATCTTTTTACGGGCTCGTAAGGACCAATTGATTTCTCTGCGCTCGATTCTTGTTCTTTCTGTACGGCTTGTTTACAAAATAGTGTAATGAGTCATCTTGTAGGTTCAGTGCACACAGCGCTTGCTTTTCTGCTTCCAACGCGATTATCACTGGTTTCCCTGAAATAGAAGGAAAACAGAATAGATTAGCAACTCCATACACAGTGATTTTAACTCTGTTACACCATCCCTCTCCTAATGAGGCACTTCCCTCAATGACTGGTCTCGGGGATGGATATGCTGCTCCTCCTTCAGCTGATACCTCATAAAAACTAGTGGCAGTTATTGGGTCGGCGATCCAAGTATAAGAAGGTGCTGTCGTCCGATCTGGCTTAATCTGAATGTAGTGTGCCATTAGCACGTCGTCCTCAGGTCGTTGGTTACTTAGTACGAACGTAGTGGGGGATCAGATGAGTGCAATTTCTAAGGGGCCTTGCCAGGGCTGGTGGAATTTACTGCAGCTCCCTAGCGATGTCATAATGCGGCGTAACCAGACGCGATACCCAACTGTAGACAGTGGTCCTTGCACCTGACGATCTCACATGTCTTTCTGATGTCTGCCAGCCTTGCACGAGTTGATTTTGACCAAGTCGTATGCATTAGCCAGGCGGTTATGGAGAGTACAGATGTATGGTACATGCTCTTGTCCTTCGTCGAGGGCGACTGTATTTCCACCGGTAGGCGAAATTCATGCCCGCATATTAAGATAACAGAAGAGAATCTAGTGAACTCATGTACGGATGTCAGATAAGCTAAGAGGCATTGAGGGAGCACCTCATCCCACAACTCAGGTGACGATCCGCTGATGAACGACAGTGAGATTGCTTGAGTGATTCTGTTTGTTCTTTCCACGAGGCCGTTACCTTCTAGGTAGTACTCAGTAGTATGCGTCTTCCTTATTCCTAATGGCTGGCATATTTCAGAGACAAGATGACTGTCAAAGTCTGAACCTTGGTCGGAGTGAAGTGAGAGTGGGGCAACGTAAAGGAAAACCCAATGATCGATGAAAGCTCGCACAAGTGTAAGGGCGTCTCGCTGAGGGACAGACACTGCTTCACACCATTTAGTGAAATAGTCCACCATAACTGATGTATAGCGATTTCTTTTTTTTCTTAGTCAGTGGTCCCATAATATCAATGATAAAACACTGCAGTGGTTCTGTTGTCCCCATCGGAGTCGACGGGGCATGAGGAGTATGTTTGGGCGATTTTATGTGGCAACATGTGTTACAGTTCTTGTAAAATTCGATTAGATCTTCATGAATAGATGGTCATCAAAAGCACTGACGAACAGCTTATTCGACTTTTCGTCCTCCTGCATGACCAAGTTCGCGATGCAACTGCTCCACAATACTCTGGGCTTTTACTTGTGGTACTATCTGCAGGGGATGTCGCGCCTCATTAGTTAGAAATAACGTGTTACCAAATAATTTTAGGTTTCTCTACTTGGTGCAAATACGACGAGTTGTTAAGGATTGATCTTTTAACTCCTTCATGGATGACATATTGTTCTCATGCAAGTGTCTTAGGTAAATAATCAGTAGATCCGGGTCTGCTAATTTCAGAGAGGACCAATCAGTCTCTATAGCTGTACTAAGAATTGCATCAGCTGTTTCTGTGGGCTGAGGTACGCGAAAGAGGGCATCCGCGTTTGTACGTCTGCTCGCCGGGTGATACTGGCATCCGAAATCAAACTCTTACAACCGTTCCTGCCACTGTGCCGATTGTCCTCCTGGTTCGCAGAAAGAACTAAGCCACTGTAACACACGGTGGTCCGTGCGCACATGAAAGGACCTACCCAGTAGATAGTGACAAAAGTGCTGTGAGAATTTTACTAATGCTAGTATCTCCCGGCATGTGATGTAATACCTTGCTTCTCTCTTGTCTCGTCGTCGACTAGAGCACTCAATGAATCTCTCCTGTCTGTCTCAAGCTACTTGTGATAGAATGTCTCCAAAAGCCGGGAAACTAGCATCCTTATCAAGTACGAATCCGCCTCCGTTTGACGAAGTATATTGGTGGGGAGGTTAACTGAGCCCTCAAAGAATTGAACGCCTGTTGACACTCGCTGGTCCATAATAATCTCCGTCCTTTTTGTCAATCGGTGGAAAGGTGCAGCAAATCATGTAAGATCATGGACGACTGTGATAAGAAGAGAGCCCCAGAAAACTACAAACGTCTTCAAGTGATTTTGGTTGTGGCCAGTTATCAATGGCACGTGTCTTTTCGTTTTCTGTTCCTACCCCATCTACGGTGATATAGTGTCCTAAGAAGACTACTTCTTTCTGCATCAGGCGACATTTGGACGGTTTTACTTTTAGGGTGTGTAGTCTAAGGCGCTAAAGAACAGCTTTCAGATTAGTATTGGGTTGTTCGGGTGTATTACCATACACAATAATGTCATCAAAATAAATCAAACATTAGTGGGGCGCTATATCTTGTAATACTGTTTGTATCAATCTTTGGAAGGTAGCCGGGGCGTTCGTTAAACTTAGAGGTATCACTCGTAATTCATGTAAACTGTTTGGTATTATAAATGCAGTTTTCTTTTTATCATGCGGTCGGACTTCCCCTAATCATGAGTATAAAGACTTAGCGTTTTAACATGAAATTAACGCCGAGTACCAAGTCCCAGGTTGATGCATAGTAAACTAAAACTCATGTCGAAACGGATACTTCCCTATCGTTAAGTCCAACAACGTCTCGGAGCACACTTTTAAAGGATCACCATAACTATAAATTTCCAAACAAAATAGTATGACGAAGTTTTCAGCGGCGAAGGTTGACGAGGGGTTGCACCAGTTGTTTCCTTGAGTGGAATCTGTAGGGATTCATCTAGGTTTGTGTCGAATTTTCCAGTAAATACCCCCATCACCAAAGACCCAAGATTTAGTCTGTTCACTCTTCTTAGTCAAAGAGTGTTTTGGTCCCTTAGACGTGTTTTTCGAAAAAAATTCACTTTCTTTCGAATAATCTCTTGCAACATATTTTTGAGATCTGGTTTTAAATTTATTAATTTTAGCTGGAGCTGTGTTATGTTTTGTGACATATTCAATCAAGTTAACGTTCGAACAGCGTGGATTAGGAATGCAGCTGTCGTTAGACTTATGGATGCCAGACGGGATTCGTACTTTGCTAAAAGATTAACAGTACACAGGATCTACAGGGTAGTTTATGTGTTTGGTAATATGTATGACAGTGAGAGGTGTCTCTAGTGGAGAATCTCCTTTGACACAGTCATGAGATCTTGTTGCCTCTCTTTTTTTATGCGACATTAACAAGGCATTGGATCTGGAGTAACCTTTTTGTATTTGTACGGGGTTGATGAGCTATTTATGCTCAAATGGATAAATTGTTTGGTGTCATTTCAGCAGCCAAATTCGAACAAAAGTGGGCAAGTTGATGTATCGGATTTTTTTGGGGCGTGTCACTTGACAACTGAAGTCTGCCACACCACACGCTTGTAGACAGGTATTCCGTAGCGAAGTTGAGGATGTGCGGTCAAGGAGGTTATATGCCATCGCATTGCAGGAAGACATTAATCTTTTCGTAAATTCCTCGGCTAAAAGCTCTAGGATGTATTCAGCATTGGTTGGTTGCTCGAGGTTCCTACCATTATTCGAGGCCCAAATGTGCGTGAGGGGTGCCAAATGATCAAGCTGAACGTTAATTTGGGCTAGTGAGATTTGTAACTTTCGTGTCTCGCTGCCATGGCTATTACTACTACGAGCGGTTTCGGATAGGTCATTCAACACCTTGGTTTGTGAACTTTCAGATTTTGGCTTTACAATATTATGCTCAATTTTTTTCTGAGTTGATGTTTCAGTATACTTGGGTAAGGTACCTCTTTTATCTCGACTTTCACTGTTGGTAGACTTAGTGAAGAGTTATCACACAGGTTACTGGCCAAGATGGTGAGATTTGTGGATAAGAGGTATAGGTACAAGACGAAAGTGTGACTCTTCCAAGAACAGATCCATCAGACATAGGGTTTACTGATTTCGATCTTTCAGGTGGTTTAGAAGTTGGAGACATTTCATTTTTACTCGAATAATTGGTCGTGGTGGAAAATTAAGTGTGATAAATGGTTGTCTGATTAACGCAAATATTTACGGGCATAACTTGTGTATTAACTGGGTTAATACTAAAATCAGTGGAGGTAGAGAGAGATTTTATGAATAATACGTTCATTTATTAAGCTTAAGAATAACTGTCAGTCGATAGGTTTAGACTAGTGTGTTTAGAAGTTAGGAAAGTTACCAAACCGTTGTCGGTTTATATGTAGTATTTCGGAGTGTTAGTCAACGAAAAGTATGTATTAACTGATTAAAAACTTAGTTACTTTGCTTTCTAGAAGCAAGCTGCAGCGGATATAATAGATAATTTTAATATATCAGTATAATACCCTACGAAGAAAATTATACCACATGGAAAAAGGTAACCACATCCAGAGTTCGTACGGTCCCAGGTATTTGGTAGTATCCCATGGACAGGGGTCTAGCCAGCTGGTAGTTGTTTGTAAGTTTTCCGTAACGTGATTTGTATGAATACGTTTGTTTCAGGGCAGTAGGTTTTCTGGATACCAGCAACTATCATATTACCAGGCGGGAGATCAGTTATTTGCAATGTGGAGTATAGTAAGGAGAAAGTTCTGATGCTAATAAGATTTCAGAACTAAGTAAAGAATAGATAATTCAGTTTATAAATTGGTAGTGAAGATTGTGCGAGACAACCGAAGTGTGAGCAAGGGAGAGGAAACAATGATAATAGGCGAGATAAATTAAGTTAGAGATCTGAGTCGATAGCAATAATAACGACCAGCAAGTCTCGAGGCACGCACCAGGCACAGCTTGTCTGCGAGAGAGATGATAATCAGTATGTGAGTGCGTGTATATCAAGTCTCTTCTTAGAGCTGTCCACTGAG